GCGGCAGTCTGTGTATGCGCATGGCCCAGCTGGAAGTGCGCAGGCTGCCTGCTGGGGCCCGCCAGGGACTTAGCAAAAGCCTCAGACCCCCCAGGTTAGTCACACCCTGGAAAGTGAGCAGGACCGGAAGGTTCCTGCTCGCTTTCTAAATATAGATACCTCACGGAGGCCATGGGACGCACCTGTGATCCCAGCACTCTGGGGAGGCTGAGGCAGGAAGATGACAGATCACAAGTCTGAGCCCCGCCTGAGCAACTGAGTGACTCTATGAGACCCTGTCTCAAAATTTAATAAATAAATAAATAAATACTTGTGCCCTGTTCAATCCCCAGTCACAGAAAATAAAGTCTCAAACATTCATGCTATTGGGATACAGTTAACAAATGACAGAGCCATGGGGCTGGTGAGATGGCTCAGTGGTCTAAAGCACCTACTTAGAACAAGCTAAGCTCAAGCAAAGCACAGAGACCTCGGTTCAATCCCCCAGCACCACATGCCGGCCTGCTTGCCCCCTGGTGGGCTGAGCTGGCCACACAATAAATAAATAAATAAATAAATAAATAAATAAATAAATAAATATTAAAAAAAAAAGCAAAACAAATGACAGAGCCAGTCTCCAAATCAGGTAGATCTTCAGCCAGAGCTGTCACCAGTTTGGGTTCCTGCTCGATTTCTCAAGTCTGTCAGCCTCGATGCCACAGTAACATGTATTAGATTTAGGAATCAAGAATGTAGTTTTAGGAAACTAAAAAGGAGCCAGGCATGGTGGCGCACACCTGTAATCCCAGCACTCCGGAGCTGAGGCAGGTGGGTTGTTGCGAGTTTGAGACCAGCCAGGTCTATGAAGTGAGCTCAAGGCCAGCCTGACCTGCAGCGAGACCCTGTCTCAAAAAAGACAAAAAAGAAAAAGGCGTTGTAGATGGCTGCTTCAGAATTGTAAGGACCTTCTGGCTGTGCGTGGGAAAGCTGGCGGGCCTTTTCTAGAGCATGTCTTGGCTTGTGCCCTGCAAGGCCCAGGCTTGTCCTTGGGTGCACGGGCCCCCACATGGTGCTGACTCCCCGCTCCCTCCCGAGGCTGCTGACCAGGACTGAGTTTGCAGGAAGCCTCTGGAAGGCACTGCTCCCTGCACAGAGCCCTTCTGAGCAGACCGCCCCCTCCCTCCCTCCCCTGCTCTTAAGTTGGCAGCGTCCTTCGGGGAAGCTGTTCCTGAGTTTCCTTTGCTTTCAGTTACCTTTTCTCTTACGAGTGTTGGACACCAGCCCCCCTCTGCGCCGCTCTGAGAGACTGCTTACTATGACTGTGACCGGGGAAGCCACGGGGGTCAGAGGGTGCCAGGCACCGCGCTTTTCTTATTCTCAGTTCTTAGAGCCTACAGCTTTCAGGCTGTATTTGGCTTGCCATTTTGATGATGGTGGTGATGAAGTCCGTTTCCTAGCGGGGAAGAGAGACCCCAGAAAGCTGCCCTGCCCAAGCCTCATGCATTCTCCGGCCGGCTGCAAATCTTGGTCGTTCCCATGACTTCAGCCATGGAAATGCTTGCCCCCCGCAGAGTTACCCCGAGCAGATACCTTGGGTGCTTGCAATAGTTCTCTTATTCTTTGGGATTTCATGAAATGGGGGATCATTTATTTCTCCAGTCTTTCTTTTATTATGATAAAAAATAGTTACAATCAGGAGACTGCAGTGTATCACAAAATGTATGTTGTCATCAGCCTGTGCAGGAATAAATCGGATTGGAAGTGTGCAAAATTAACATCCATGTGGAAGTGGCCGTCATATTTGCAATTGAGAGGAGAGGAACTTTTAAGAGACTCCAGAAGGCAGTAGAAAACCAAAATTCCGTGCTTTGGGCGATTTCTGCCCCCTGCTGGATGCCGGAAGCAGAGCATCATATTCAGCTACTTGTTTAGAAAAAGATATTACAGAAAAACACATGATAGTTCAATGCACTAAAATTGTCCTGAAAGTCTCGACTCTATTTCAAAGTAAATGCATCTTTTTAAAAATCTGGTCTGCCGGGGATATAGCTCAGTGACACAGTGCCTGCCTGGCAAACATGAGATCCTAAGTTCGAATCCCAGTACTAAAAAGTAAAAATAAATTTAAATTCAATCTAGCCGGGCATAGTGGCAAACACCTGTAATCCCAGCACTCGGGAGGCTGAGGCAGGAGGATCACTGAGAATTGGAGACCACCCAGGAATACAAAGTAAGCTCAAGGCCAGCCTGAGCCGCACAGTGAGATTCTGTCTCAGAAAAGAAAAAAAACACAACCCCTCCACAACACACACACACACACACACACACACACACAGGAACTTGAAAGTGGTTAAGATTGTAGATACAAATTTTTTTTTTTTTTTTTTTTTTTTGTAGTTGCAGATACAAATTTTCTTGAGTCTGTATTGTGCATTGTACCAACAGCTGTAATTTTTCAATTCAGCTCTGTGGAAAAAAGAAAATTCCCCTTCAGGAAATTTCAGTGATTATTCACAAGGAAATCTTTAGGATTTCTGTTTTTTTAAAAAATGTATTTGATACAGGGTCTCACTATGCAGCTCAGACTCCTAGTGATCCTCCTGTCTCAGCCTCCCCAGGGCTGGTATTACAGGTGTGGGCCACCACGCCCAGTCTCAGTGGCTGACTCAGCGTGCCCAGGGGGTGGGACCAGCATGGCCTGTGGTGCCAGCGATCAAACCAGGTTCCTGTGCTTGCGTAAGCAGGCACTTAGTCTGCTGAGCTATCTCGCCAGCCCTAAAGAGTTCATGTTACGAAACTGTGTTTTGGGGCAAGGGATATAGCTCAGTGGCACAAGCACCTGCCTGGCAAGCCCAAGGTTTTCAATTTGATTCTCAGTACAAAAAAAAAAGGGGGGGAAAGAAAGAGGAAAAGAAAAGAATGTTTCTGACTCATTCAGTGTTATAAAACCTAAGGATTAATACACTATCATGCCATGAGGGCTGGGAAGATAGCTCAACAGTCTAAGCACCTGCCTGGCAAGTACAAGGACCAGGGTTCAGTCCTCAGTATCACATACCGTGCCAGCCCCAGAACCCCAGGTGCATTGTGTGGACCACCAAATCCAGGCATGGCGGCGCACACCTGTAATCCCAGTGCTGAGGAGGCTAAAAAAGGGGGATCACTATGAGTCTGAGCTGCGTAGTAAGACCCTGTGTCCAATACATAAAGATTTTTAAAAATTAATAATAATATGTCATGAATGTGCATTTCATATTTAATATTTCTAAAATGGATGTATTGTTCCCAGATAGCTTGGCCATGCAATATCAACTAAAAATCTAGCTTCAACCACTGAGTACAGGACAGAGGACAAGAAGGAATGAAAAGTGGGTCTCTGGAAGCCATAAGTGATGTAGTTAGCCCATGGGTGGCAAAGCTCACGTTTTCTGCAAAGACGAGCCCTCTGGCCTTTGTTCTGCTTGCCCCAGCAAGCCGGCTGCCTGGCTCTCTGCTCCCAGGAAATAAAAGTGGCAAAGGACACTAGGAATCAACAGTGGGGTGAAAATTAATAATAACAAGGAGAATACAGTTTCTGAGAATCAGAAGAGAGTAAGCTATAGAGCATGGGGAGGAGGCCATAGCTACATTCTTTCACGGTGGCTGGAGCCTTTTCAGTAGGTTCTGCTTGAGAGGTCGTTGAGTGTAGCTGTACTTAGCTTTAGTCTCTCATTTAAGAACATTTTAGGGGCTGGTGACATGGCTCAGTGGTCTAAAGCACCAACTTAGAACAAGCTAAGTTAAGCTAAAGCACAGGGACCGTGGTTCAAACCCCCAGCACCACATGCCAGCCAGCCCCGCCCCCTGGTGGGCTGAGCTGCCCCCCAGACACACACACACATTAAATAAATAAAATTTTTTTTTAAAAAAGAGAACGTTTTAGGCATTTGGGAAGCCTGCCCAGTCTGTCGATTGACTTGCTGAATTCTAACTAATGCTTTTTCTTCTTGAAACATCCTCACTCATAAATGATCCTGTCTTTTCATTCTCTGTTCTTTTTCTTTTGAGTTGCCTTGAGATAAGCTTTTATTTTTCTTAGCTTTGGGATTCATGGTTGTTGCCATCTTCTACCTTAAGATGAATTAGAACGTAGCACCTAAAAATAAAAAATAATAACTACTCTTTTTAAAAAAAAAAAAAAAAAAAAACCTAGCGGGACCGGGGAGATGGCTCAGTGGAATAAGCGTTTCCCTGGCAAGCCCAAGCGCCTGAGTTCAATCCCCGGTTCCGCCAAAAAATAAACAAATAAATAACATAGCATCTAAACAAGCTCGGGGTGAATACACAGTCAGGAAACCAGGAGCAGCAGGCTTTTGGTGTCCCCTCAAAAGGCAAAAAGTAATCTACAGAATAAGAAGGTAGCACGTTAATAAGTGCTGCTGATTTCTCTGATTTTATCCCACAAAGGTATCATCTCTGATCTAAAAAGTCAGCAATAGCTGGGCGCGGTGGTGCACGTCTGTAATCTCAGCACTTGGGAGGCTGAGGCAGGAGGAGTGTTATAAGTTCGAGACCAGCCTGGGCTACAAAGTGAGCTCAAGCCCAGCTTGAGCTGCGTAGTGAGACCCTGTCTCAAAAAGACCAAAATAATAATAATAATATAAATAAAGTCAGCAGTAATATGAAAATAATTATCATTCCAGATCCATGAATTACTTTACCTACCTTCTCTTTGGGAGAAGGATGACCAGGGTTAACACTAGTTCCCTATCTTCCACACCATACCACCATCAAACGCACACACATTCCCCAGGTCTAGTTCTACACTCTTCTGCTTAAATCTCTGTTCACAATACCTACAACACTCACTGAGCTGCGTTTGGGGAGCCATCCATACGGGAACATTGGTTCCAGGGCCACGCCTGGGGAAGACGGGGTTCCTCCCAGAGCTCCCTTTCAGTAAGCGCCCTCGGGCCCCGCGACCCATTCCCGTGTACCCTTGTAAGTAACAGCTCGTGTTCCTCTCTGTTTTTGCCTTGAAGACATGACAATGGATGAGGTCCGAGAGTTCGAGCGAGCCACTCAGGAGGCCACCAACAAGAAGATCGGCGTCTTGCCCCCCGCGATCTCCATCTCCGGCATCGCCCTGCTGCCCTCCTCCGTGCGCAGCGCGCCCTCCAGCGCGCCGTCCACGCCCCTGTCCACCGACGCACCCGAGTTTCTGTCTGTTCCCAGAGATCGGCCCCGGAAAAAATCGGCTCCAGAAACTCTCACGCTCCCAGACCCCGAGAAAAAAGCCACCCTGAATCTGCCTGGCATGCACTCTTCCGATAAGCCATGTCGGCCCAAGTCAGAGTAACTTTCTAGGAGCATCTCATGGGGTTTTCTATTTTCCTTTGGGGTTTTACTTTTGCTTCTTTCGTTGCTGTCTTCTGAAGGAACTTCTGGTGTAGGAAAAGACTGCCTTGTCTCTCAGACGTGTTCCTTTGACCTCGAGTATTGCATGTGGTTAAGTAATTTTACAAATAGTACGAATCCCTAAGTATGCCATGCAGCATAGCGGTAGATGTAAGACTCGCAGAACAACAGAAGGCATCTTCTGTAGCCGCCGCCGCCAGCCAGGGAGGGGACCTTGTTCTTGGGCACTTGTTGAGGTTGGCGTGGACTTAAAGGGTGAATCTAGGGAAGTTTGCACCCCTTTGTGCCGGGGGTGGTACAATGGTGAAGGCTCCTTCCTCCCATCAAACCTGAAATTCTCAAAACTACTCTCAGGCGTCACATACCTAATTGTTCAATTCTGAACTGCTGACCACCGATACTTGAACACCCGTGGTTCCTGAGATTCCTATTTTGGTTAGCCTGACTCAGGATTTGGGGCCTCCTTCACACTTTAAATTTTTGAAAATTTTAATTATGACTCTATAAAGGCTCCAAGTGCAATTAATAACAAGATCTTTCTACCTTTCACAGAATTTAATAAAGATTCCACTTGTATCTGTCTTTTAATAGCTTTCCCCTTTGTGCCCTCGTGGCCTCAGAAATCTTCAAGAATTGCAGGGGTGAATGTGACCATAGCTGATTTATTCAGAGTGACTCAGTTTAGGAACCAAAAGGCCCAGGTGAGACAAACATCTCTTTTCTCTACAGAGACCAAGACACCTTGACCTGTCTGCTTGCGTCACCCTGTAAAGGTGTCTCAGAATTTGCAGTCAGAGCTCACTGAATGTGTGCGCGTTCAGCAGAGTCCGCAGGCAGAGCGAGCTCACAGGGCCTGAGCGCTGTCACAGTCGGCTGTGAGTCAGGAGGGAGAGCGCGCTGTCTCCAGTTCCCCTCCTGGCTTTCCTCTTAATAGCATTCAGACTTCCTGGGATGAGCTGCCTGCCCCCAGACCGCTGAGAAGACTGCTGTGCTGTTGCTTCTTCCTTGAAATCCAGATAGCAGAGGCTGCTGGGGTTGTGGTCTGTAGAAGAGCTCTTGTCTAGAGCGTTTAAGGCCCTGGGTTCAATCCCTGGCACTGCACACACACACACACACACACACACACACACACACACACACACAAAGAAAGAAAGAAAGAAACTGAAACATTGGCGCTGGACCTGGTGGCACATGCCTGTAATTCCAGCACTTGGGAAGCTAAGGCAGGAGGATCACTGTGAGTTCAAGGCCAGCCTGGGCTACATACCAAGGTCAAGGCCAATATGAACTACATAGCAAGACCCCGTCTCAAAAAGGAAAAAAAAAAAAATTGGGAATATTATGGACATCAAGTAAATACTGCCATGGGGGAGGGACAAGGAGAATTACTGACTCCTATCTTTGGGGGGCAGGTATTAATAACAAATGTCCCTCTGTCTCGCTTCTATTTCTGCAAGTAGTGGGAATGCAAAATTAGCATCCAGGTTGACAGAAAGTACCATGTTTTGTCAAAGTGATGGAGAAGAGAACTCTCCTTCAGTCTAGAGAAAAAACAGGCGTGTTGTGCACCTCACTGCCTTTAAACCCAGAGGGAGGGCGCATAGACTGAACCCCAGCACCACCCTCAGGAGAGGAGCAGAGCACAGTCCTGCGCCTCCAGGCCATGACCTCCAACCTCAGGAAATGGACCTTCCCAAAACACAGATTCCAAAGGAAACCAAACAAACCAAGGAGCACGTTCTCCTAGCCTCAGCCTCGGCCAGTGGGCCTGCCTGCTCCCGTCCAGTGCCCGGCTCTCCCTGTGGTCTTTCCGGTTGAAACACTCTCCAAGGTGCCGGCGCTGGCCCCAGGAGCCCAGCACCAAAGTGTCTCGAGTGTCTCAATCACTTCTTTATCTACAGATTGACATTTAGCTTACAAAGCCAATACACCCTGTACTCAAAGAAAAACGGTTGCATATAGCTTAGGTCAACCATACACCTTTAATTAAGGATGATAGTATCATAGTAAGACACCTTCTTTGCATGGTATAGAAGCATGAATTTTGCTTGTAAGAAAACTGAATCTTTATCAACCCCCTTGACCTCTCAGTGGCTCCCTCTCCATGCGCTAGGACTTCTCACGAGAACGGCTTTCAGAAAACATGGAAATAGCGTATGTAATTGCTTACCATTTGCAAGCTGAAATCAGGGTAGGGATGGGGTAGTTACTGTCACATAGAACAAATTTATTCGGTGCAGCTTGTTAGCATATCTGGCTCCTACTTTTTCCACAGATATCACTGCTGTTTCCTTTTTCAGAAAGTAGCTTCAGCTGTCAAGGTCAGCAATTTGATATGTTTTAGAAAGCTAATTTCTGATTTCCTTTTGTGGGTTCTCTTTCTGTTCTAGCCAGCATAATACCCCAGACATCACTTGCAAAGCTACCCGTGGTAGTGTGATTCCTAACCAAGAAATATGCACTCCTTAAGTATGTCTAGTTTTCCTGTCTACGTGTGGAGCACTACGGGGAGCGGGGTGCAGATTCCTTTATTTGCTTTGAGTATCTAGTCTAGTCCTCACAAGGCACCGACCACTCCAGCATCTCTCCCATCTTGGTTTCCAGCCGTCATTTCACTTGCCCCATCTATGAATCCCTTACTGTGGGACACGAGCCCATGATGGGTGTGTACATAAGACACGAATAGTTCTTCTAAGGATGGAAATGTCAATGGCTGCATGATGGAAATGTAAAAGAAAACAAAAGCAGAAACTTGAATTTGCTGAGCATGTTTGAGGAAAAATAGAATCCTTAACTCAGTGCCTCTGTCTGCAATGTGGAAACCTTCGGCTTCATTCACCAAAATTGTATTATATCTGTACATATATAAATATAGTCTAGCGATCATACACCGCCAGTTTTAAGTATCTGGTAGCCAAATTAAAATAGGTAGTCCATAGGCTCATACCCTTGTTCATCTGCCTCATCTCTGATGTTAGCAGCAACCGTCAGAATGACTGTGAGCTTCGTCACTCTGGAGGACCTCACATATGCAATGTCCCCGTGCTTTGTTTGTCTGTAGCGTAGCATTCTTGTTGTGCCTGTGCTTTCCCTGGAGAAGAAGGTCTCAGCATCTGGACTGCATCAACTTTGTCAGAAATCACCTGGGAAGATCATTTCATTTTTGAGCTGTAGTGAAATAAAAGCAAGGGCAAAAGCTAACAGTGAAAGAGGCTGTGGACATTTTTAGTTGCCACCATTAGAACAGAACCAGTATGGGTTGACTGGTGAACTAACTTACGGTTCTGAGCTTCTGTTACGGTTCTGCATCGGTAGGCAGGAGAGTGCTTTTCAGTTACTTAGAGGCATATCTTCACCCGGCTCGGGATGTAACCATAAAGTAGTGTAGTTGAGGATGTGTAATGAAGACACTTCAAATCCAACAATGCTCCCAAAAGTAATTCTGTGGTTTTATTCCAAAGCACTGTAATAAACAGTGAGCTAAGAGACCAGATCCTAACACATCTTGAGGAATCATTTTTCAGTGAACATTTCAGGCTGAATGTGCTTATTCATATCTCTAAATTGTACTTTCTTCCTAGGCCGGGGAGGCTGCTCCGCAGTAGTGCACCCGCCCGGCATGTGATCCTCGGCACAGCAAAATAAAAAACAATTCTCCTTTCTTTAGTACGTCTCCATGGCTTGGAGACGATAAAGTAACAGGTCACTGGCTGGCCTAGTCAGTAGGAATTTTATTTTTGAGAAGGGCTACAGTATCGAATCTACCTAAAATCCATAATCAGATAACCCGATGGAGACGCGGCACCTGCGTGGTGCTTCCGAGCGCCTGACCCAGTAGGCCAGCTAACTGTCGGCCGCTGGACCCACAGTTGTTAAAGCTAAGGAAGAAAAAACAATTTGTGCAGCAGCTGTAACTTGATCATAAACAAACTACCTTCAACAGTTCGCCATTGCTGAAAGTGAAGCAGCGCGCAGTAGCCGTGCTGACATGCCGGGGCGCAGCATACTGGGCGCCTCCCTGTCCTACCTTCCGAATGATCTGTTTGCGTTGAACGTAAGTGTTGAAGCTTTGTAGGAGTTAGTGCAATAGGAAAATGTGCATCTGCCGAGAACTTTCCAGATGCCGAGACTCAGCGCCATGTTCTAAATGAGCAGGTGCGCGGGGGGTTGCTTAGTTAAAAGTCCTGCTCGCTGAACTGCCGGTCTCTGTCCAGTTTCTGCAGCACCAAGAAGACAAGAGGTCCTCTGCGGTGCTCTTACCCCTGTGTCATTGCTGGGTAGCTTCAAGCGTGATTTGTTGTGCTTACATTTCAGGCTGGGATCTTGATTGTTTAAATGAGCCCCAACACCACTGCCACTGCCGGCGGCCCTACTGTCAGAAGGCCCGGCGTTCCAGGCGAGCAGCCGGGCGAGCGGGAGCTGGTCCTCACACACGCTGACTTCTGTGTCATTTTATGGCTGTACTGTGTTGTTCCCCTGGCCCCTGTTATTTATTATTGTTAATAACTTACTTTTTCTTACATTCTGTTGTAAATAAAGTACAAAGCAATCTTCTTTCCAAGTGTAGGCTTGTTCTCTTTCCTTCTCAGGCAGTCTCAGGGGAATGGTGGCCACAGTGAACTTGCAGGTGGATGGGAAGAAGATATGGAGAAAGAAGAACAAGCCAGTACTCAGGCATGGTGGCCACATGCACACGCTGGTAATCCCAGCACTCGGGAGGCTGAGGCAGGAGGATTGCTGAGAGTTCATAGCCAGCCTGGGCTATGTAAGCAAATTCAAGGCCAGCCTCAACAACACAGGGAGGCCCTGTCAAAAAAAAAAAAAAAGAAGAAGAAGAAGAAGAAGAAGAAGAAGAAGAAGAAGAAGAAGAAGAAGAAGAAGAAGAAAAGAAACAAAGTAAGAAAACAAAAGAAAAAAATTGTAGTAGCTGTTACTTAGACCCAGCTCAAAGACCTACGAACAAGGTCACCTGACCTATAAACCTGAGGGACAGGACCCATGGTAGGAAAAGTCTAGGTGGCTGCTCTAATTATCCAGCCCAAAATTACCCAAGGTGAATCTAGAAACCCCTGGGATACATACATGACCTCATCTATCCATCTAGAAGATACCTGATTCTCTCTCCTCAAATTTAAGGCCACACACCCCAGAAGAGTCTGCAGGAATGACGCCTGCAGGACACTATTCCCGTCATGGGGGGGGGGGGTTACTTTTTTTTTTGTGGAACGGGGGATTGAACTCAGGCCCTTGCACTTGCTAAGGAAGTGCTTATTCCACTGAGCCATCTCCCCAGCCTGGGGGGTTACTTTTTAAGGTGAGCTAAAACCTCTCTGCTATGGTTTCCCCATCTCAAGTAGCTCCTGTGATCCACAGAAGGGTGCCCTGAGGATGGGAAAGGCAAGGGCTTAGTGCCCTACAGTCCCCACACCTGGCTTAACCTCTAACCTTTCATGGGCTCTCTCAGCTTACTATACCGAGTAGCTAAAAGCAAACAAAACAACCAGGCACAGTGGTGCATGCCTGTAATCCCAGCATTCAGGAGGCAGAGGCAGGAGGATCGTTGGGAGCTTGAGACCAGCCTGCGCTACTACGTGAGTTCAAAGCCAGCCTGCATTATTATGGCGAGACCCTGCCTCAAAACAACAACAAAACACACTAAAAAGTTTTCCCAAATCTATGAATCCAATTAATGCAAACATATTTGCTTTTGTAGCCCCAGCTTTGCTATGACCACCTCCCACCCTGCCTTTTAATTCTCTGTTCAAAACACACAAACTTCCCACGGGTAGCAGCCCAGCCCTTGATCCTGTGCACGCGGGCTTGTGCTGCTTTATGGGGCTGAACAATACGGAGCTGGTAAATATTTGGGTCTTGATGCTAAGTATGTAGACCTGTGCAGCACCCCTCCCCATCTCCCAGCACAGCTTTTCACCAAGACATGATCTCACCTGGGCACAACTCCTAGACTTCAGATCCACCACAATCCTTTAAAAAATGTCCTTATTGGGCGGCGAGCTAGCTCAGCAGTCTAAAGCACCTGCTTAGGCCAAAGGGCAGGCACCACAGTGCAATCCCAATCCCTGGCACCACATGTCCTGCCAGCCCCACCCTCATGGCAGGCTGA